CACACTCTACATAATCACCTGTGATTTGAAGATGGCGACTTTCTAGGTCTTGGCATTCCCATGGAAATCATCACACCCCTTTTACCTTGTGAGAAAATTTTCACAAACATCCTTGTGAATAAAATTATAAGCTCTTGCCATTACTATGGTTTACCATAGTATTAAATAGTAGATAGAAATGTCACAGCTTATCAAATAAATAAGTGACATCTTGAGCTAGTATTAAATAGAGAAAAAGAGTTAGCCTGGAAATACTAAGTCAAAAGATAATAATTAGTAAATATAATAATATAAATTCTCACCATCATTATCATTTTCACTCTTTTCTTCACACAACTCCTCTGCATCTTCACTTTCTTCATTATCCATATAATCAGTCATACTTTCCAAGTGTAGCTCATTTTTTTTGTAAACTATTGGGACAATTGTGTGACCTGTTTGTCTACAAGAGCCATACACAGGCATATGTTTTGGTGTGCAACTATAAACTCTATGGTTCTTTATTTTTAATGATAGATGGGGTTATATATTGTAGGGGATGTATGCACTGATGGTTGCACCACTGATCTAGTGTTTTGCAGAACTTCTTCCAACTTTGTATTAAAAAGTTTGCAACCCAGGCTGTAATCTTGCATAACATTCAATTTTCTTAATGTCTGATTCAAAATGAATAGTTGATACTTTTGAGTATTTTGTGATCAACTTCTGCCTGAGACTTTTCTTCTATAGCTGTTGGAGCACATCTGCTATTATAAAAGGATGTGTAATGTTGAACCAGAGTATTTTTGTTGGGGTCTTTGCACCATCTAGTCAGAAAAGTGACATTAGAAGACTATTGAGGTTTAACTGGACTGCAAGGTATTCCAGCAAAATTCATTTGATTGCAGGTGCATTTAAAGTGTTCGTTTTCTTCATTATATTAATATTGAATGTAATGCAATCTCGCTGGTGTACTGGAAGGAAATGTATTTATAATTCATTGATTGATGAATTTAACTCCTGAATTTTACAGAAAGCATATATAGTATGAAGACAATCTGCTTGCTCTTCAAAGGGGTTAGCAGATTTACAACATGTATTAAAATTATTTCTTTATATGCAGCATAGTCTTCCACTTCTTTTCTAGCCTCTATTGCTAAAAGCAAATGCCTCAAGAAACTCTTTTAATGAAGTAGTGGCATTAAAGAAAGTTTTCAAAAGGGCATTCATACTTTCCCCTTTGTGTTGCTGTCATACCCACTAAGAATATTAATATATCAGACAAGTAACAGGGAGCCCATTTTTCCTTAGTTTTCCATAATTCTAAGTACTTTACAGCATGTACATGACCTTGCTTCAGTGTTTGAAAACTTCGACCAATCTGAGCCAAGCACTCCTTGCAAATTCTTCTTCACATTTTTAAAAAATGCCAAAGACACAATTAATGCTTTGTACCATAAAGAGTGAAGGCTTGATTAAACACACTAGAAATGCCCTTGTCATTATCAGTTAATAGCACTCCAGAGAATGGTTATTAAAGCTTAAGGAAGCTTTTAAAAATCTTTCCGCTGTCATTAATGCTCCCGCAAACAGACTAACCATAATTATTAACGCCGCTGAAAATGCCCAAATAGCATTAAAAAAACGGTTTGTTGAATCATAGACGACTACAACGAGAATATGCTATCTTTTGCTCATGAAACATCCAAATTACATGTTGAAGACGGTTAGAGATTGGATCGCATTGATACTCAAAAGCAAGTTCCGGATAATCAGTCTGAAGATATTTTAGTGTATCAATAAACTCCTGAGCATCAAAGTCCCTGTTGTAGTTGCTTAGACTTGCCGAATTATGTAAAAAGTTGCATAACTCGTTTAGATCCAAGTAAAACGGTCAGTGAATTTTGTTGCGAGCACGGAACGAATTTGAGAAACGTTGAGACCCGATCGTTTGAACAAAAAAACTTCTGCTTTAACATCCTCAGGAAGTTCTCGTTCACTTGCCATAATCCGACGCTGTTCTGGTAATACCATTTGGTGAGTCAACTACCCAAAGCTCTTCGGAAATTGGTTACAGTACCGTATGTACGAGGTCATCAGCTTTGAAATATGTGTCGCAAACGGATTCTTTATTGAGAACTGAGCTGCATTTACATTTCCCAATAAGGGAGTGTTAATGAAAAAATTTTTTATCTCGAAAGGCTGATTAGCATTTTGAGCGCCAACCCCTGAGATCGAATCGCTATACTCTGATTGGTCGAAACCTAAATTTCCGATCATTAAAGTCTTTATGCAAAATGTATGCTAACGTTTTTCCCGATTTAGACAAAGCGAGATGCTTATCCGTTGATAAGTATAGAAAACGTAATACTAATCCTCGAACATGGGCTGATCATTTTTTTTTATTAACGCTCCTTTATTGGGAAATGTAAATACAGCTCAGTTCTCAAAGAAACCGTTTGCGACAAAATATTTCAAAGCTGATGACTGGCTGACATACGGTTCTGTAACCAATTTCTGAAGATCTTTGGGTTAGTTGTTCGAGTCTGATGTCTACTGTATGCCAAAGACTTGTTGAATCATAAGATGCTCGAACTCGGAATGGACAATTAGTCGTTTGTGATACTCTTTACCGTTTACCCTCAGTCTCTTTCCTAGTAGACTGGAGTACGTGCTTTTGAGCATACGATTGTACGTTTTAACCGTATTGGTTCCTTTTTGCCGTACAGTTTTGTCAAAATGAACAGAAAATCCTTCTTTTCTAGCATAATTTTTACAGAATTAATAAATGCAGCTTTGTCCGAAAATGGTTTGCCTTCGAATAAATTCAAAGATTCTAGACTCATTCGATAATTCTGTTTCTTCTGTTTGCCCCCCCCCCCCCCCCCGGAAGCAATAGATGCATTTATTTGTTGAGCTTGAGCATTGCACGAATGCTTGTCTGAAGTTTTGTATTCTGACGGAATGGTTTCCAAACTGGCATCAATCTCTGAGAGGTCAAACTAGTATCTTCAGAACTCGTTGTCATTTCGGACGACGTTGACGAATTAATGAGTCAAACAATTCTGACTCAGACACTTTCTATAATCGCTTAATTCTTTTTATAGTGATTCTACTGAGCAAACAAGAATATGATTCGAAGGAGCAGCACGCGAAGATTCAAATTTATCATTCCGATCACTGCCAAAGAGTCTATGGCAATTTTATTTCTATGCGTGACAAATACTTTATTTATACTTTGATTGTACACATTATGTCAGCTATTTGTTCACATACTGTAGTTCTTTACATGTCCTAAACTATGTGATTACATACATCTTAAGTTAAACATGCGTATATTTTCTTACAAGTGATCATACTGTACAATTACTTTGAAGACGGGTTTTGTGACGTTAACATAATTATACTACATAACCAAGTGCAGACATAATTCATATTTTGACAGTTAAAAAAATTTGCCTCTACTCTACCAACATCAAGCAAATTATCGTATAAATAGATTGTATAGTAACTCTAAATATAATTTGGCAATTTTAGCTATTAAACTGCATGAAGTAAACCGCAATACGTAATATTTACATTGTCGAGGAAAAAAGACCAAATAACCCTCGACCAGTAACAGCATCATTTCTGATAAATTAGGGAGTGAAAGTTAGATTATAATAAGCTTACGTCTTTTTGCTAAACAGAGTAGTGTTTAATATATGAGAAGCATAAACTGAGTATACGATACGTTATTATTATTATAGCCTTAATGATGACTAATAAATATAAATACGTCCGTTCATAGATTATCCAATTCCAATTTGACATATGTCAATTTAGAATTAACATAAATTCCAATCGACATACTGTATGTCAATTCTCTATTGACATAATTCTAAATTGACATATGATACTTATTTTACGTCATCTTTGAACCAATTCAGTTTTGTAATTCTTTCCCATTTGCATTGCATCTATTACGAATATGTTCTAATTTATTGACACTGAATAAACGTTTATTCCACTTTGTAGAAACTTTAACTTTGCTTAAATTAATCTATTTGCCCCTTAAATATATTAACATTAATGCACACAAGATTAAAATTAAGTGTAGCAACAAAATTGGGGTAAGATATGAGAAAATATTTTCAAACTCGTATGTTAATTAGAAGGCATTTCAATTTTTCTTGTACCATTTTTTTTAAAAAATTAAATTATTAATTAAAATTTAAATAAACACTGCTAAATACTTTTTATATTTGCAAGGTGTGCGTATTGCAGAAAAAAAAAGTTAAACGAAGGAAGCGACACCCCTCCCACTAATAGAAAAAAGTAATTATAATATCGATAAGTTCAACACACGAGTGCTTCGTTAATACTTTGATGGCGACAGGTCGTTGTAGGTCGTAGCGCAATGGAAGTCGGTTCCGTTTTTGGATATCCAAACTTCGATAAAATAAGTCGCAGGCAAACCGTTTGGCTTAGTTGTGAACGGGAAGTCAAACTTAGTATCTTTTTTGACAGGACATGATTTATAAAGTTCACATAAGTTGCCCATGTAATTACGATAAAAGCTATGGCCATCATAAAGATAGATTCTAACAGTAGCTTCGGTAATGTCAGTTGTCGCGGTTCCGGAAATACCAAAAGTGACATCTTGGCCAGAAACAATGGGATCAGGTAACACGGATACGTTGAGGGGTGGTATATCAGTACCATTATAAATACACTGATAAAATTGGGTAGCTCGTTTACTTAAAAATCCACGCGGAATGGCATTAATTACTGAAGTTGTAATCAACGCGAAGAATAAAAAAAAAACTGGATGTTTCATAGTTTTGTAGTTGCTAATCAGTCAATTAATAAGTTTTGTTCAGTTGATACAGTCCAACATGCCATCAATGTCATCACTTTTATAAAAAAATACTTTCCTTAATAATATTTTGTACTATCTAAAGTTGAAACCAATTTATGCAGAATACTATTACTTGTGGTAATTTCGTGGACTTAGGTAACCTTCATTCGGATATCAGATAGTAACACGTGGTAACACCCATCACATCGGAATTGCCTAAAACGGTCTGTATCAAAGGGTCATGATTGCCGACAATAAAGTCAGCTACCAGAAAAGCATTATTTCGAACAATGCTGATAAATGTTTGGTTATGGTTGCCGGTGAAATGATTATCGGCGAAACATCACGTCTGCGAATGATTGTCGGATGTTATGATTGCCTCCCGCCTGAAATAATGATGTTAAATTATTGAAATTATTGATTACATGGTTATATTGTTCACCTCACATAACACAATGATGGAATATGTTAATCTTTACCATGAATATTGCTACTTATATACCGTGCGACGCTAAATACAATTGACTACATTGATATTGCGTTGTTTATGGTAGTTGGTGTTGTCAATATGGTTATTCGCAATGTCAATCCTTGATAGTGCGCTTGTGGCTACGCCGACATGGTTAGTTAGATAGTATATTAATGTATGGAAGAAGTTTTGTTCTAATGGTTTATACATAAAAATAAATATTTTGATTTATGTCATAGAACTGAACTTAATGTTTTTGTATGGTTAATTGTTCTATTTTGGGGAAATGTGTTTAATTAGCACAGATAGAATATCATACCTAGCAGCCATTCGTCCATCAGCCGATCACAGCTTCTGTATTTTATTGGTCACGTTCTCAAAAACGAGATCTGAATATAGTAACTGACGATATAAATTTAGTTAGCATTCATGCAGCAATAAAGCGACTTCAATGTCAATTCAGTATTTAATATTAATATTTAATTTTAATTAAAGTTAAGGGACAGAATTTATGTGTTTCGTAACATAAAAAAAATTGGTTTTGGCAGCAAGCTCAAAATTGGCCAACAATGGTCAATACTAGTGTCACATGTGGTGATTAATTTTTGCTAATCCTTAAATAGCTACGACCGGCTTATGTATTGATTTTTGGCTTAGCATTAAACAAAGCAATTGGCTGTGTTTGTAAATCAACGTCTCCCCAACTAATGCACCAAAAATATCTCCCCGTTTCAATCCAATTACCAATAAAAAATCGAGCTTTGATGATTAGATTTATAATGTATTGACGGGTGTGTCTTGTAAATATCAATTGTTTAAAAACGGGAAAACCACTGTATATGATTTATCGATTTAACACTAAAATTTAGCTTCCGATTATCTCAGCACACGCAGCAATTTCTGTGACAACCTTTGTGCGCTACCATTTCACGCTAAATCATAGCCACTCATATCAAACAGTCCGTGCTATCTTGTAAGCATCGATTGTTCAAGACCGGTTTTCGTACATCGATTATTGGCGAATCAATGTAATAGTTGTTGGAGACTTAGCACAATTACCTCCAGTAAGAAAACGCAAGTATTCCATTTTGTGGTATGGCATTTATCCTTCTATTATTTCTTCGTTAACTACGAAGACAACAATGCAATATATTTATAAAATATAAGACTGGGCAACATTTCCCAATTATCGTAAAATAAAATAGTGAAAAGATCGTCTACTTACTTATTTATCAATCGCCTAAACTCGTTACGCACATTGTAGGGGCACCGTCATACTGCTCAAATTAAATCAGTCTTTACCAGTCAACAGAGTATCAAGCCGTTAATCACTGAAGCCACTGATTTTCAGGAAAAAATACAACTTGCACAGGCGAAATTTACATAAAAGCCAAAACAAACTTGCCTTGCTTGCCATCTATAGGTTGATTTGCAGCAAGGTGCAAAGAGTAATGTTTTTAAACAATTCGCTTATGGGTAATGTCATACGATTGGAATAGTAACAAACATAGATATGATTGAAAAAAAAGTCAAGTAACTAGACAAACAGCACGGTGATGTCAACGAGCCTCGAGCACGCAACTGCAGAACTCATTTTGGTCTAACGGTTCACAAAGTCACGCTACTCTTCATCTCTAAACTTTATTTCTCAAGCAGTACAAGCCTATGTAAATGTCCTAAATGAAAACACGTTCAAATTATTAGCTTATACAAAGATGCTCTCAAGACTAAATCCTTGAGTTTACCAACAATTACAACAAATAGCTGCAAATTTGTCAATTTTTTGTTCACTTATATATATATACAGTAACTAGTAATTCTCGCTTATTATTATTGTTGTACGTCAATTTGGAATTTATGTCCATTCTAAATGGACATATGTCGATTCCAAATTAACATATGTCAATATAAAATATGAGAGCTCTATTGCACGTATCTACTATGTAAGTCACGACAATTTTGTACCGATTGAAGATAATTGACTGCACTTTTCGAGAAATATTTAGGCCCATCAATTCCGACGCTGCAGTTCGATAAATGAGGCTGTTTACATTACACTTATGTTTTCATAGATTATCCATATTGTAACATAGATACTGTCACTTCGTTGAACTGCAATTTCGGAATAATGACGGGTCTAAATATACATCCATTTCTCTCAGAAAGTACAGTCAACTATCTTCAAATCGGTACAAAAATTGTCGTGACTTACATAGTAGATACGTGCAATAGAGCTCTTTAAAAAAATGAAAATTTTATATGTTTTACTATGTGTTTGACAAGAAATCAGGTAATTTATGCTAGGGCAGTGTATTAGAAATTAGAAGGTCAATAAGTTTTATTTAAAAGTTTTAATTGAGCGACTTTATAGAACACACTAGATAGCTCGTTTGTAAGAATACAATGTCTTTAATTTGTAACATTTGTTATACTAGTTAACATCGCTTAATAATTTTTTTTATATAATTTATTAAAAAAATAAAAATTTTATATGTTTTACTATGTGTTTGACAAGCAATCCGGTACTTTATGCTAGAATTATATAATTATTACATATGTATTTGATTGAAATTTCAACGATTGGCTAGTACAGCAGTTGCTATGTAGATGTAAACCATTAGATGCTTGCATTGCATCAATGATACAATGTTTAGCAGTTGTCGATGTTACACGTGGGAGAGCGGTCGTGTAATCTCCTTGAGATTTAGCGTCTTCCAATGGCGTCAACCGGCAACGCTTACTAATGCAATTCTTATAAACAGTTAGTGACCTTTTAACAGGCTTTGAAGACTTCCGAACATATTGTATCGTATACGCTAATCCGTTAATATTTATTTAATATTAACCTCGAGTAATTATCAACAATTATGATCCGTTGGTATTAATTCCGGAAATCTATCGTTGGGAAAGGTTTTCTAGACTAACGCGATTAAATAAATATCCTATAACCGATGATACCTGCGCAAGACTAAGTCGTAGCAGAGAGTCCAGATAGCGGTTTTCTACTCTCCGATTCAGGTTAAATTCAATAGAACCACAGAATTTTAACTGACAACGAATGGTTAAATTGCCAGTAAGAGTTTTATTAGAATAAAAGATTATTCTATAGGACCGTTGTTATTCGAATGCTAAAGGAAAATATAAGCGTTACGTGGACAATCTTAGCTGAGGATGATGAATGATGAAGGAAAACGTCGCGCTTAAATAACTATTCTTGGCTAACAGAAATTGGACATATATCGGGTCGGGAAAGTATCACTAGTTAATAATGTTCTAATGGAATTTGGTCAATTTTGTGCAAGGCGTAGTAAATCAGAGTCTGTATGGTGGGGGACACATATACGCATCAAATTGTTTCAATTTTCAAGGGGATATCAATTACTGAAAATGTCAATGATCAACAATAGTAATTTTATCAATTTTTATTCAAAAAACGTTTCAGGGCCTACCCATTATTACAATTTAATATTAAAGACGAAAATTTTTCGTTCTAAGAGTATCTTTATCCAACGGTAATGTAACATAAAATTTCCTTTTTTGTTAAAGCCTTAAGAAATGTACCAAATTTAAGATAAATTTTACCAGAAAAGGCTGTTTCAAATTTCCGCTCACTATATAAATTAACCAAACTTTGAACAGTTATATGTCAAACCACATGTAACATTTGTCAATTTTCTAAACGCAGTTTGTTAACGTTTATCAAGAAGAACAAAATGGCGTTCTTAAATTTTGAATTATTAATACAGTAATGCTTGTATTACTGTTGGAAATGCATCAATTTTTGTTTGATGCGTATATGTGTCCCCCACCATACCCATCGGAATTCAGAACGTCAAAGGCTTCTATACGTCTTCACAGAACACTTTTTTATAGTGAGCCTATCTTTATTATAGTCAGTACTACGTACACCTCGCTTTTCTCTCTGAACTTTTTTCTCTTGGTGCTGTTAAAATTCTCACGCTTACTTTGATGTTTTTTGTACTAAATCCATCAAACGGTACGTCTTCACTATATCAAGATACAGTACATCTGTTAATATTGTTTGAGAAAAACTTGACTATATCTAATAACGAGACCTACTATACAACTTTATTATATCGAAAATTTAATAATACTGTTTGATAAATTTACTGTATCGAGACTTTACTATCGAGGTTTGACTGTATTATTATTATGTTCGACTAATATTGTTTAGTCCATGAAACAACACATATGAACGAATTTTGTATCCTTCAGCCTTACCAATAGGAGAATTAAGCTAACATATTTAATAATTCTTTATCGATATGTCTATTGAAACTTACATTAACTTCTTTAAAACATTTTCATAATAATTATAGTATCGCCAGCTTATTTCAAATTTGCATCTTTGCATCAAACAAGCATGCTTCAGCCAGCTGTCACAATCCGTTATTTATTATCAACTGATTATCCCACATCAAAGCTTCGTGCTTAACCCTGACCCTGAAGATTACTTAACGTAGATTTTCGACACTTAATTTTTTTGACA